CATGCATATAAAATGTCTAGGGACCATGCATGTGATCCCTAGACACTATCTCAGAGTTAGGAATCTCCACTCTAATCACCCTCTCTCCCTCACTACTAGTGCAGAAACAACTATGGTGGCTGGCTCTTCGAGGTTAGGAATGCAACCTTGGAGAGGAAATAGAGAGGCATTCTGGTGGGCAGGGAAGGTAGGAAACTGCAGGTGCCAGGGTATGACATTCTGTATTGTCTGCGGCCTCCTTCCTTCCCTACTGTCTCAGAGTGTCCCAGATAGATAGACAAAAGAGATTGATTTGAGATATAATAGACTTGGACTAAGTACAGGTAAAACTGAAATGGACTGGAAATTGATTTGCCCATCTGTGGTTTAAAGGAGACAGTTCTTTCAAGTGGAAGCCAATAGTTCCTAGTGCCTTTTCTCCTAAATTAATTACTCTTGACTACATGGATGACGACTTCTGTTTGATCAACCACAGGAGTTCTTATGATAGTAATCTGGATGGATTGCTCTTCCAAAGAGGGGCCTCATGTGGTTCCACCTGGCCTCTAGTGTTGTCTCCACCACTCCCATTACTGCCTTCATACTGTTGAAGCTTGACAGCTGCCACATTGCCCCTCAAAGCCCCAGTGTTTTGCAAGTGCTACAGAGACACAAAATGTCAGCTTTCGCTTGTTTTCAAGCCAAGAAAGGTCCCCTTTGCATTTCTGTTGTGATGAATTTCTGCAGCAAAGCATCATTTTTAGTTTTGTCACTGACATATTGCTGTTTACAGGTGTATAGCTGCTGCGAAGCCAACTGGGGGCTGAAAATTGACTCCTAGCTCAGGGTTAGGGTTGCAGCAGGAAGCATGCTTGCTGGATTGTTTCTCTCTGACATACTACCATTTGTGGAGCATTCAAAAATTGTGCCTCCATCTACAGACTGAAGTGATCACTCTCTTCCACTGTGCCAGCTCAGGACTATAATTTCTCATTCAGTTACATGTATAAACTACCCATCTTTCATTTGGTTATCCAGGAGCAAGGTCAGGACCAGAAGTCACAATCCCAATCTTTCAGTGAGAAGAAGCCAAGCTAAGTGCAGAAAGGACCCTTTCTGGAAAGAATTGCTCCAAGTTCCATCATGTTTGAATTGGATTTAATTTTGCTAGTTTCATCCACTATATTTCCATTCTCAAGCATAAGTTTAGGAACTTATCACCATTAGAAGGAGAAGTAATGTCTGCCATACACTGATGCATCCCATAGTTCCAAATGACTGTTCACAGTAGTTCATTGTAGATTGAGCCAGGCAGCCAACATGGCCAATTGCTAGGTATGAAGGAAGTCTAACAGGAGATGAGTTGGAATCCAATAACATCTGGACTTTCTTGTATTGGAAAAAAGGCAGGAATTTTTGTATTTTTGTATTTATTGGTAATTTATTATGTTCTATTGTATTTCAATGTATCTTATTGTGTTGTAAGCCGCCCCGAGGCTTTGGCAAGGGGCGGCATAGAAATGTTATAATAATAATAATAATAATTTAATAGTAGTAATATTGAGGAAGAGGGCTGCAGGTTGACTGCTGTAATGTAGCTGTTGAAGCAGTTTAAGAGAACAAAAATAATCCCTGAGGCACTCCAAGAATGAGATTCTCCTAATTCCATTTTTTGGTACAGGCAGTTGCAGGGAAGAACAGGGCCTTGTTCTATGGTGGCCTTAAGGCTATAGAGTGAGTTCCCTATTGGAGCATGTTCCTATTCAGTTTCTAGGGGAAAACCTGTAACTCACTGAGCTGGAGGTGGGATGGTTCTGGCATTCAGTGGATGGCTCTCAGGGCAGGAAAAGCTTGCTCTCCTTAGGACTCCAGGTTGCTGACTATCAGAGTTAAAGAATAGTCGTCCATATGGACCAATGGTCACACTTTTCAACTAAAAGCATTAATTTTTATACTGGCTTTTGAGGAACAGTGCTGCTGCTGTGGTATAATATTGGTTTTATTTTTATTTTGTGCATGTGTGTGTATCTTAGCAGTTCTGTAAAGTTCCTTAAGCTTTGGAGCACCTGTTTAAGAATGCTATTAAAAAGGACCAGAAATGACATTATTTCTACCTGCCAGTGTTCTATTTGGCACCACGACTACCTGTACATGCAGATATGAGAGACTTCCGACTTCCACCTGTGGTTGGATAGGCAACACAAGAAAAATACTGGATGAATTTTGCAGAAGATTAGAATGTTAATTACATAAATGCATGATGAATGGAAAGTAGCACAGAAGCTAATGGGATAAAAGTGGATAAACAGAAAGTCCTGTGCCAAAACTGTTCTCAAAAATGAAGCAAATACACAAAGGAATATTCATAGAAAGATGAGAATAGTCTGCTGGCCAGATCAAAAGTCCATCAACTCTAGCATCCTGGCACAGCTGCTAGATGCTTCTTCTATTCTAAAACACCAGTAAACAACTTGTTTGCAAATGTTATCTAAAGTCATCACACCTTTGATACCCCACAAATGACTAAGCATGTATGGACAGTTTGGCTTGTTAAACACTTTTTTGGGCTAAGAATTTATTTTAAGCCTGTTTAAAGTTAGGTCCTGACCACTTCCTTTCTGGATTATGGTAACTTGAGAGCTCATTCAGAGTGGAAAAAAGCCAATATATAGTATTGGTACTTGCTAGAATGTTCCACTGTAGTTTCCAGGTGTTGGAGAGGCAGGACTGAATACTACTCCATATTTAAAGGAAAAGCTGTTGTACATTGAACGTTAGAATGACAAGTAGTGTTTTAGTTTGATGTTCATGGCATTCTAGCCTTTCGTCTTTACAGTTTTACTTTGGTGGACAAGTGTGTAGGGCATGCAAAGAAGCATGCCTTACCTGCTATCCAAAGTGATGAAGTCCAATATCGGCGATGCCATGTTATATTTGAGGGGTCAGCAAAAGACTTCCTCTGTTGGTCGCCAGAGTGGCCAAATCTGGGGAAATAGTGTCTGGAGCCAAAAAGGTGAAGTCTCGCCTGATTACAAGCTAAATGGTGCTCTTCCATTTTGAGCCTATGATGTCCCCTGTTTACCCCGCCTTCTTTTAAGTTTCAAAGATGAAGGTTATTCAAGAGCATTATTTTCTGTTGTTCATGAACCTAATGGCAGAAAGCAACAGATCTGGTGGTTGTGTGAATGGGGCTCGCCTGTGGAATGCCAAGCAGGCTAAACAAAACAGCTTCATCCACTATCAATAATTCTCAAGGTAGTGAAACAATCAATCACAACCTCTTCTTCCTTCCCTGTGGTGATGTCCCCTTTTGCTTATGAGAAGTATTTCTTCACTGTGTTGAAATCTTACATTTTGTACCTCAACTTGCACCCATGGTGTAATGTTTAGTCTGCCCCACTCTTTGTAGCCAATTTTTAATGCAGAGAAGGCAGTTCTTACTGAGGTCACTCAAGATCCTCTTAATATTCCTATTGAAATAGACAACTTCCTTCCTTTTTATGCCCTTGAGTTGCACTGGCAGCAAGAGAGGGCCCTTAATGGGCAGTAAAATCTCCGACTTTAATTTCTGTAGACATTTGGACATTAAGAGGCTAATTTGTAAGAGGGAACATTTAATCTTTCTTCATCATCACCATCATCATCAGGTCTTCAAAGCTAAAGAAAGGAAGAAAGCCAAATCCTTAAAAACGGCCTGAGCTTCATGCTAAGAGCCAGTTAATGGCAATTGTGCTGTACTTCAGAGAGGGTTTGCTGCTGAAAATCTGCCAATACGATACATGAGTATTTAAAATATTTATAGACAGACAGTTAAGTTCCTGATCACCATGTTTTATCTGTCATCCTTTACCTTTGCTGTTTTTGTAATTCTCTTTTTAAAAAGTTTTGTAAGCTGTCTGAAATATTTTGGTGAAAATGCATCAACTTGGTCATTTAGACTGTCTTCCACTGGTCAGTTTTGCTGCTCCTGACTCTCTCAGGAGGACATCCAAACTTGTATAGAATTCATCCCATGGAACAGCATGGCTAGAAAGGGCTATATCACCATTTTGCCAGACCAAGAGGTGCTTGGGAGGCTGTATCCCTTGCTTTCCAGGAAGAACATAATGGCGAAGACCAGGTTGGCAACACCCATTAGTTAGGGAAAGTGTACCTGCAGCTTATTTTCTTGCAGTCTGCTAGAAAGAACACTCTGCTCCTATTTGCTCTGCTACTAAGAATTTGTCCTGGCCCTTATCCCTAGTCAGAGTGTTGTGTTGTATGTTGTATGTTGTATGTATACTGAAAAGCATGGAGGCACAACAGACAATACTACTGAGATATTGTATCTTCTAGAATTGGTACCCTAATTTGCTTGCTTTCATCTCCCTCTCTATTGGTTCCCCCTCCCCTTTTTGTATTGTGCCTATTAGATTAGAAGCTACATACAAGGACTGTCTATACTAATCTCTGTAAAGTACTTAATAAATGTATTTGTATGTGATAAACAATAATAACAAAAAAGAACTTCCACTTTGGGTGGTATAAAGATGATAATTATGAGGATGAGTAGTAGTGGTATGTTATTATGATAGCTTTTATTCTTATTTGTGCACAGGGGAACAGATGCATATAGCAGCCACATCTGAACAATCAAATCTCTGCTTTGTATGTCAAGTTATGAACAGACTTTGCGTAATCCACAGGTAGCAGCTTTGTATGAGTGGAAAAAAAATGAGGAATTGCCATCAACTGTAGATTTCAGTTATGTCCAAACTGGGAACCTCTAGCTAATAACTTCCAAACAAGTCAGGATGCAAGTTGGCCTAATTGTCTTACTTGCTTGGATGCTGGTAGTCATAGTTTTCCTGCTTGTACAAAAAGAGAAGTAAAATTATTGCATTTGGGTGTAGGAAGTTCATTTATATGCCAGCTTATTTGTCCAAAGGGAACCATCGTATTTACTATACAAAGGTAATAGCACATGTGCTTTTGTTGTTGTTCAGGCTATAATGTTTGCTGTTATTGTTTTCTCTCTCCAGTGGATGAATACATTGCTATTGCAAAAGAGAAACATGGCTACAACATGGAACAGGTAACAAAGCAATTCATTTTTTAAATGTATGTTTTACTAGAAGGTGACTCTTTTAGCATCCTCTTTTTCTGTCCTTGGATTACTATTTCCAGTTAAAATGAGTGGATAGTGGGGTGTATATGAGAGAGAATGGTGGAGGATCAAATCCCCATATTTGGCATGGTATCCATAAAGGGAATTTGTGATGTTTTATCATGTGTGTAAAATATCACAATGTAAATAATTAAATGTAGATCAAAGAATGCACTTTCCTGTTTTAAATATTTTCTCTGTCCAGCAAGGTCAAGCAGGGTTACAACATGAATGTTCTGATAAAGACATATATATTACAATGAAACAACCAACTATACTTCTCAGACATCCCAGTAGACAGTAAAAGGTGCAGACCAATAGCAGAACATTAGCTAAACATTCCAGATTGTAGAATGCGCTCTCTGGACAGGTGTGCCTGGTGCCGAGTTTATATTCTTTTCGGTGCCAGGTCAAAAGCTTTTTATTTAATCGTCATTTTAAAAATTTTAATTTTTAACAGTCGCTTTTGATTTTGATTTAATTTTTTACTGATATTATGTTATTTATTTATAGATATGGTTGTTTTATTGTATTTAGATTTTAAGGATTGTAAGCGGTCCTGAGATTCCATGCATAAAGGACGGCATACAAAAGTGTCAAACAAACAAAGAAATAAATAAGCAAGCAGCATGAAACATACCACACAAGTGTTTCTCTAAATGCATACACTTTAGGATCACAGTACATATTATTTCAGTTACATTGTGCACAGTTTACCATTTCTGCTTTCTAGGGTAAGTGAGAACCAGTGTGGTGTGGTGGTGGGTGTTAGAGTGAGATGTGGAAGATCTGGATTCTAGTCCCCACTTGACTAACAAAACTCACTGGGTGACTTTGGGCCAGTCATGCACTCTCTGCCTAACCTACCTTACAGGGTTGTTGTGAGAATAAAATGGAGCTATGTAAGCTGCCTTGTGTTCTTCTCAAGAGGAAAAAACGGGGGGAAATAAATGCATTGTAATAACAGTAAGTGCATGCTGGCCCGATCCAGGTGAGGACACTGCATGCAAAGGGGGTGGTTCACACTTTTTCCTGCAGCTGCGTTTGTCCCAAAATTCAACCCACACCCCTGCTCAGAGCTAAAAGAAGAAAGTAGTAAAGCCTCCATTGTCTAAAGCAGACATTTCGTTTCTAAAAATCCTCTGGTGGAAGCAGGGAATTTCAGGAAACAGCACTGTAATACTAGGTAAACAAGGGTATTGGTGAAATGAAGCTTAATGGATCGACATTGATTCTGAACTGGCTAGCTCTCCCTTCTTCCCCAAACTGAAGAAGGGTAAATTGCTTGGAGCATCTGATGCTTCTCAACTTGGTCTAACCTGTCATTGGATTAAGGAAATTGCCCCCTCCCCCCACGCCTATGTCCACTAGCCTCATTAAGCTTTTCCCACAGCATTTAAAACTCTTTGTTTCCCACTGCATGCTTCTCATTCCTGGCTCCTCTGACATTGGCAGTTGCAGATTCTGGCTCCCCTTCTTGTTCTGAGTCAAAATCTGATTCAGCTGCGGGTGAAGGGCTCCATTCTTAACAGATTGGGCCCAGTCCCTTCAATACCCAGCTCCTAGACCCACCTAAATGGGGAAGAAACATCGCACATGAAAATAAGATCTACTTGAAAAAATTGAACTTAACAGAGGAAAATGATGCAAGCAGAGGATTATATAACTTTAACATTTGCTATTGTTCTGTAAGGCATTCCTGTACTGGGAGATATGAAAGAGGGAAAAACCTGAACCACTATGTGTAATTTTTTTCTCACAATGAATCATGTTTAAGGGAATTCCAAGACAGAAAACTCCCTAGATGTTTAGTGATGACAACTGAATGATGTGGAACAGAGCCACAGGGTCATGCTTCTGTTTAAAGATGTGGAATCACAGACTGGACATTTTTTGAACAGCTTGCCTTCTAGGAAGGAAAAACTTTCTTTTCCTTTCATTTTCTTTCTTTATTGCACAGCAAAAGGATTTGAAGGAGAGGGAAACCCCAGCACCAAAGTTGGCACTTTCACTTTGAATGGTCTATATGAAAGATGTTTCCCAGGGCATGTGGAGCCTATATATGACTGTAGAGAAGCAGGCTTATTTTAGTCCATATTAGTGCATAATTATTTGAGAAGAAAGCTCAGACAGCCTAACCCTTTTCCTCTGTAAGTGATCTGGTCCTTTCCTCAGCATGGTCTCTTCATCATACTTATGGGTTCTGTCCCTCTGCAGAACTTCATGTTGGGAACCTTCTATTTTGAAGTAGTTTTGGCCGGACTGTCTGAATGTACATATCTCAAATGGGTTCTCACCTATTGTCTCATTTCTTGACTGTTTTTCTCGCTAGGCTAAGGTTCTTTTTTCTCTCTTTTGTGTGTACTGTCCTGTTCTCCCCCCTCCCCCCTTCCTTTGTGTGTGTTCTTGGCAGTCCCATTGATTGTGCACCTGCTTTGGCACATGGCCCTGGTGGCTCCCTTTGGGAAGTGCATCAAGTGTGGTGGGAAGCTCCTGCCACAGATGGACATTCTCTTTGTCTGCTTTGCCTGAATGAAGGACAGTTGTGAACAATGACCTGCACTGTCAGGTTTGAATGAAACAGGCAAGAAGAAACAGTGTGGATTGGCTACAGACAGTGATGAGGATGAAGATGCTGGAAATAGTAGATGTGTTTAAGTTTACAATGTCCATATTCCTTTCTCCAGCCCCACAAATGGTGGAACTGACAGACATAGGCCATCCTGTTTTGCCTAACAGGCTCTAACCATGAGCCAAGTAGACCCACTGACTCCAGGAAGGTCTTAACTTTCTGTACCATAAAGAAGACATGATCTACAGGCACAGAGTTAAAGCCACCCTGTAAAATGGAAGAAAAAGAAGACTGGCATGGTGCATAACTAGACTTCTAAATCATACTTGATAAAGAGCAGGACTGTCGCAACAGGCACATCAGTCTCAGTGGCGCCCCTAACACTGACCTGCTCAGTACCAGTGATGGCACCATCTATAATTCTAGACTAGTTACAGATTCATAGGGTGAGATAAGGTGCAAAACTCCTCTGGCACTCTCAACATGGCTGCACGATCTTAGCATACCAACAGCTAGTTTAGGGATTTTCTGGAATGAGCAGATCACTTCCCTCTTTGCCTCTCCAGCAGACTTAAATGAAACCTTAGAAGCACAGTTAGCATATTAAAATTTAAAGGCTACCGAACAGTATAAATCAAACTAGTGTTCTCCTTAAGGAGTGGGAGAAGCAGTGGTCCATCTAGAGTTGGATCCAAGCTGATATGCCTCCTCCTTCCCCACCTTTCAGAAAAGATTTGATTCCACTCATGCTGCTTGTGTACTAGACAGCAGGAATGTTCACTTCACCTGTCATCTCTTGATCTTCACACCTTGCATCTCCTCCCTGTCCAGTTCTGAAAAGTCCCCCTCATTCTCTAAGGTGGATTTGTTCTCACGCTCTGCTTGAGAATCTTTTCTACGTCGCCTTGAAATGGCAAAGTTCTCTGCCCCTTTTTGCCCTTTTCCCACCTTCTGTTGTGAGCTAGGCATCCCCTCCCAAGCAAGACCGACACTCCAGCACTTCTTGTGAGAGTCTTTATTCTACACAGGGAATCTAAGCATTCACAAGTCTCTGAGTATACACAAGGAGAAGTGTTGGCCCCTCTCTGCCCCCCTTCACCCAAAGCTTTGCTTATGTACCCTTTGGGGCCTGTCTCTGGAAGGTGAAAATGTGCCCGTCTGCATTCTGCACTCTGAGACCCTAATTGGTCCTGCCTGCAGCTGTGACAACAGGCCCTCAGTTCCACATCTTCAGGAGGCTCGTGTTCTCCGTCCAAGAACCCTCCCCCCTCCCGTCCTTCATCTGCCTCATTCCCACAGGCAGGAGGGAAACCGGGCCTTGTGGCTGTCCTTGAGCTACTTTCATCCAGGGCAGGCAGAGACTGACAGTGGGGGCGGGTGTAGGCCTCTCTGTTACACCAACAATTCCGTTATCAGAGTGTGAGCTCTGAGCCTTGTCTGGTTCAGCCACCCCTGCATCATCCTCTGAGTCTGAGCTATCAGCCCCACCAGAACCAGCCGCCCCTCATGATGTCTGGGAATGTCATCCAAGCATGCACGCACGGCACCTTGTCAGAACTAGACAAATCTTTCTGAGCAGACTGCAATGCACGAGAGTTGGGCTGCTTCTCTGTATCTCCCAGTTCCAAAGGCACAGATAATATAGCACCTTGTCTCCGCAATATTATGGACATGGGGAGCTCTCAAATCTCCATAGTCAGATTGGAATTGGCATTCTGAATGCTCTGTGCTCTATTGAAAATCTTAGTATTATTGAGTTAACTGGAATACAAGTATGGAACAAGCATAGAAGACATGGGTGTGACCCCTTCCTTCAGTACTATTCACCACTGCTGGCTTCCATCCCTCATCCACTGGAGTATGATTGTGTCATCTTCTTACCACTTCCACCTCATCCAGCTCCGTTCGAATAACTATTACATGTTGACCACCAAGTTCCTCTTTCATCAGCTACACAACCTGTGGTATGGATCCCTTCGCCTCCACCAGTGCCAGTCACATTTGCAATGCTGCTGTGTATTGCGTCAGAAGTTTTCCCACACCTCTCTGGAGAGGGAGGGAGGGGGATGATTATCAGACTGATACACACTCATTATGAGCACTATCAGTTTCATTTCCAGACGTTGCCATTGTTACTCAGGACCTGCATTCCCATCTGAAGACGTGGGTCACTTCTCAGACAAAGTCTTGAGGATGACTCTGATCTTGTAGCAACAACTCTATTGCTGGGTGTACACATCTCCATGTTAGGGCATCCAGATCTGTCCCTATCTTGAAAGTTGACTTCATGTTTCCACTATTTTATGGATTTTATTTATTCTGTGAATTTTTTTTGTATTTATATGCGGGATTTTAATGATTGTAAGCCGCCCCGAGGCTTATGCGATGGGGGCGGCATATAAGCTGTCTAAATAAATAGATAAATAAATAAACAATTGTTCCCTTTGTGAAGGAAAGGCTGAATTGAGACCTTGCTGCTATGCTCACCTTCATGGATACTTTGGACTCCTTTGTCAAGATTGAAAAAAAGTATCCTCATACTAGTTTGCTGTATCCACTTGGAGCAGCATTCTCATAACATAGCCATGACAGCTGTGGTTTTCCCCAGACCTTTGGTGAGTTCAAGAAAGCTATGTTGGTCTACCATGACTTGCCTCAGTTCCATCAAGCTGTCCCTAATGTATGGTGACCCTGTGAATGAATGCCTTCCAAATGGCCTCCCTTTGATAGTCCTGCTCAGCTCTTGCAAACTAAAGGCTGTGGATTCCTTTATGGAATTGCTGCATCTCATAGTTGGTCTTCTTCCTCCGTCTTTGACTTTCTCTAGCATTACTGCCTTTTTTGGTGAGTCTTGCCTTCTTGTGATGTTCCTGAAGCACAATAGCTTCAGTTCTATCATTTTTGCTCCCAGGGAAAGTTCAGGGTTGTGAACTGTGGCTTGTTCATGATTAGCAATACAAGATTTGTCAACATAGCAAGATTCAGACATCAGGATAACCCACATTTCCAATAACAGCCCACATTCAACCCTTCTGTGTTGGGCTATCATATTCTCATCAGTGTGTCTAGTTTGCTGTTTAGGAATACAGGAGTAGTTACCAACTTGGGGGACCTTGCAGTAGAGTCTGTTTCCTTCAATGCTGCTCTGCATTGTCCAGGAATCCCTAGTTTTGCTCAAACAAAATCACCGGGCTATCCCTTGTTGTCCATTCCATCACTTACTGGCACATCAGCTTATGAGTTGCTTGCATGCAGATGCAGTAAAGAAGTAGGGCAACCCTTTAATATACTGAAGAAAAATTGCTCAGAGGCTTTGTGTTCTTTTAGCATTTCTAAATTAATGCATTTTATGGTGACCACCTGTATGTGACTGTATTCCTCTTCAGGCAATGTGGGGAAAGAATTGTAGCCCAACCCAATAGTTCTTGCTTTAAAAGGAAACTGGATGCAAGGCCACAAGTGGATACTAACAGGAGGTGGTAGCCAGTACTATCAACTGCGCCTCTGTTACTTCCATCATGCCCATGAGACTCACACCTGGTGCAACAGGGACTAGGTGTTCTGGCACCAATGCTGGGAATTAGCGGAGGCATTTATTTCTGGGTTGTCGTTGATCAGCAGAGCTCCTATTATTTGAGCTCTGCTGACCTACTTCATTCTAGAATTGAGTGTTTGCATTCTTTTGTACATTGCCTTAGGAAGTGCTAACTTTCCATTGAGATTGTAGTGGCTTCTGCTAGCATGTGATGAGCAGTGGATACTGTCCAGATCCTCTGCATGCTCTTTGCTACAGTTACCGCAGCTATGTGCATACTAAGACTGCAGTGCAGTAGGTATGCCAGAAGGATGTTTGGGGAGCATTTGAAACTTGTTGAACTAATAAAATCTAAGCTTTGGAGCTGCACCCTGCACCTAAATGAAGAAGATTGGCTCTTTTAATGAAAACTGTGACGACGATTTTTGTTTTCCTTTATTTGATGTCTGCTCTTCATTTGCATTTATCCATGCAATCTTGTCACCCTTTTCCTTCCCACCTCCAGGCACTTGGGATGCTCTTTTGGCACAAGCATAACATTGAGAAATCTCTGGCTGATCTACCTAACTTCACTCCATTCCCAGATGAATGGACAGTTGAAGACAAGGTTTTGTTTGAGCAAGCTTTCAGTTTCCATGGGAAAACATTTCACCGAATTCAGCAGATGGTAAGACACTACTACAGTTTCACCTGTTTGCAAACCCTGGGAAGTATTCAGCATTGCTTTTCCACTTATGCCATTGATGTAATGCTTGCATAAGTGGCCTCTAGTGTCTCATCAGTAGCATAAGTGGACACAGTGGATTTTCTGGGAAAATTCTGTGTGTCAGGATGCGTTACTGGCATTGCACTAGAGGTCACTCACACTAGCATTACGTTAGTTGCATAAGAAGAGTGTCAGTGGCAGATACTTTCCCTTGATTTAAGAAGGAAGTTGGGAAATTATAATCCATGATGGCTTGGATTATTTTGACTATATAAGCCATTTATGGTGCTCAGCTGTTTTTCCTTTACAGGAATGGGAGAGGTAAATTGCAAAAAGTTGAGTTGTTAGATGCTTTGTATACCCAGTTTTTATTTCAAAAATGTGTAGTTTTGTTACTGTTGTTTATGATATACAAAGTGAAATGTGTTACAAAACAAATACAGAAACAGTTGGGAGAAGTGTAGCAGTGGGTTTGGGGAATGAGACTATGATATTTTAAGAACTCTTCATTTCATGGTGACTCAATCTCATTGGGTTGGGTATTTGTACTGGCAAAGAGCCAGATAGATATCATCTGCAGCATGCAGCAAAGCCATACAGAATGCAATTGGTTTCTCCATCCAGTGCCATGTGGTCTTTCATGTACATATTAGAAGCCAGGAGTCCTAAGCAGTTGGAAGTTAATAAGAATTGTCCTTGATACAGTGAGACATCATCAAAACACATCAGGAACTATAAATATTAGTGAAGCCATATTCAATCCAAATAGTTATGTCTGAAAATATTATTGATGTTCCTTACACCAGTTGTATTTATATAGGACCAAAGTGAAAGTGATAGATATGTGGGGATTTAAGTATCTGTGTTCACATTTTAAATCACATTTTGCTTTATTGGCTATAAAGGCATTGCTCCTCAACCAAATTAGTCTCCTTAGTTTTCCTTGAGGATTTTTTTAAATGTAGAAATGCTTTATATTTATATTCATTGGAGATTAAAGGTCATACTAAAAGCTGTGTACCATTAATTACCAGTACTAATTACTAAAACTTTTTTCCTCTTCAGCCAAGCCTTCCAGTTTAATCTCCTGTTTTTAAGTCTCTTCTTTTTCCAGGTCTTCACAAACATTTTTTTTTCTTTTTAGCTGATGTTTCCTAAGGGTAGAACTAGATGCCCTGCTTGATGCAGGGCTGCTGACCAAAATGGCAGCTGTGTTGATTTCTCCTGCCTGCATAGGTAGACAAGGCAGCAATGATCTTGTGGCAGGTGTGTTGTTTCCTGAGCGTTTTATGGGTGTTGAAGAGTTGTGTCTAATTCTGTTCTGTTCAGCCCTTTCACACTAAGTAAATGTGTATTCTTGTTGGAATGGAAGGGGAAATTTTGTGTCACTCCATTTTAATATATTTTAATAATAGCTTTAAATAATTATATATTTAATTTATTTTTTGCCAATTTGAGATCTTTGGGAAGAAAAGTGTTCCCTGATGGAATCTCCTTCTCATACTTTCTTTCCATCCAGAAAACCATCTGTCCAAGCAAACAGTGGCTGTATTCAGACAATCTTCCAAATCCTCCAAAACTGAATGCATTGTTTAGAGGACTGGAAATGAGCCACAGGTGTGTGTGATCCTCTGTCACACACAGCTTCACGTGTAGTCTGCTACTTTGCACTAACTACAGTTTGCCATCATGTCCAACTTGACAAACTGAGGTTAACACTTGCCCTCTGTACTGGAACTGAGAACTCACAATTTTGATGATATGGACGTTGACCAATTGTGGTTACTGTTAAATTGCAAAATGAAAGCAAAGGCTTTCTTGAAAAAGCATCTTGATATTATGGAATATTATTAATGTTAAAGTGAAAGAGAAGGTGTGCAAGTAGGGAGGAGGAAGCACAGAGGTCTTCCAAACGTCATTCAGAAGATGATCTGAATTGAGTTGCTAAGTAAACAATTCCGTGATTAGCTGTGCATTTGTTTCATATTTAGTAGTCTTGACTACAAAATCTGTGCACTTCTCAGCCAGCAAGACAATCTTTTAGTGTGTACAGTCAAACCCACACTTGATTTTGTAGGGCTCAGTTCTCAATGTGAACTGTACTGATTGCAATGAATAGCCAAAAGTGAACAGAATGTTTCAAGGACATAAGTAAGGTTTCTATGTTGTAAGGGTTTTTAGGAAAGACTGGCTTTTTCTCATCTTACGTACCAGTTCCTTCCAAAATGTAGGGTGGTGATGACTACAGCATCCTTTCAAGTCAGATCAGTCCACTTACAAAGCAATGTGAATGAACATGGTACTTCTCAGAGCAAACCTTTGTGAATGTGTTAATAGGGGCATTATCTCATTGATCAATAAGGAGCAAAATGAGAGTCTTCCCTCCTAAAGAAGTATACAAAATTGGCACATTGTTTTCCTAGTTATTAATAGTAAAGCAAGAAAATTGAGAGATAATTGCAAATTGCCTTTTCTAAAGCTTGACCTGTCTAGCAACAAAAGTAAAATGACTAAATGGTATAATTAATATTTCAGTGAGAATACAGCATGGGTGACATAGGTAGTATTTGTGAGAGGTGATAAAACAGAGAGACTTGAAAAATAAGATGTGGAAGTCTCTGATGAAATCCAAGTGATACAGTATAGAAGCAAACATTTGAAATCTTACCAAGGAGTTCAGAAATGTTGCCATTTAATTTCTACTTTTTGTTTTGGGGCTCTAAGTCAATAGTGTTCCATCTTTATTCCAAATATGCATTTTTAAACCATGCATTTGTATGGTGATAGTGCTGTTGCTGAGATACGCCTTAGGTCACAGAGTGACCCACACTGAGAATCCTGACCCAGTAGCTGAAGACCAATGATGTAAGTCACTAGCTGTTGGCATGAAAGTAGCTCCATTTCTTGAAATGTACCCAATGTGCCAGTCTCTGATGTGGAGCTTCAAGGCATTTGTGGACTAGTGCTTTGCACTTGCCAATTCATACATAAAATGACAGTTTGCTCCCAAGTGATCCCCAAATGCGTTCTTATTCTGGATCATTCCCTGAGCACTAAGATATACTGCTTTTTGTGATTGTCAACTTCTGCAATGGTGGCTCTTTTCCTTGACATATGTCACTGTCTGATTTGAATTTGACAAAAGCAATATAGGGTGTTTCACTGGTCTTAATAATCTTCCTCAGCTGCCTGACAAATCAATAGCGAGCTTGGTGAAGTTCTACTACTCATGGAAAAAGACGAGAACCAAAACAAGTGTCATGGATCGTCATGCTCGGAAGCAGAAAAGAGAAAGGGAGGAAAGGTAAGCTGGCAAGTAGGATTACAAGATGGAGGCTCAGGAAGAAAGAGTTTTTAACTTTGATATTCTGCACTTTTGCTTTGTGAAAAATCATGCAGATAATTCTACAATATTTGAACAAAATACATTTTAAATTGCAGTTTTGTGCTAGACAAATATAATATGCAAATGTTCAGCGTGGATATTGTGCAAATTGCATCAAACAAGCTAATAAACACAGTTGCAGCTCCTTATAAATTAATGGTTTTTGAGGTATATTTGAGGAACTGGACTTTACTCCACGAAAACCTATATGACAAAAAATCTGTTATGTCTTTGAGGTGACATGGTTGTCTTTTGTTGCTACAGAATAATGCAAATATCTCCCTGGAGATCACAAACTAAGTTCATTTGCTTTTCCAGTCAGTTATAAGATAAGGGTTACAATCTATTGATATTCAAAAAGGAAGCTATCTTGCTGCTTATTGTGTTTGTTCTCTATGAGAAGATTTTGAGTTCACAGCCAAATCAACAAGTTCATAGAGTTTAGGGTTAGTAATGGCTACCTTCCTATTGTCCATATGCTAGAGGGAAGGTGCTGTAGCATTCATGTCCTGCTTATGGGTTTCCCACAGGCAGTGCTTGCCAACTGTGTGAACAGGATGCTAGATTAAATGGAGCTTAGTCTGATCTAGTGTGGCTGTTCTTATGTTCCTATTCTGTAGCTTTGCTCTTTTCTGGTGGAGGGGAGAAGGTTATTGTACAATAGCGCAATATTTTACTGTAATATTGTGCAATACTGGTCACAAGGCAAACGTATATTTGCCTTTCTGTTGAAGGTTCCACTGTTTATGCAGCAATCATGCAAGAAACGTACTACATGTGAAGTCTGGTTTGCATCCATCGATGTTGCTGAAGAGCGTAGGGGTGGGTCACCTCCTCTCCTCCCCATTGGCCAAGTGCAGTAACTTTCACATGCCTTGGCCATTGCAGTCTCCAAGGCAACTGAGGGAGTGGGTGATCCCCCCCTTTTATCCAGGCCCCCAGAAGGGGAGGGAGGGTGGCCCCCCACCCACTCTGTAATGCTGGGCAAAGGAAGTTTCTAATCTAAGCCTTGCGCTCTGTGGCAAGCCCATGTGTGTGAATGCACCAGTGACCACTTGAAGAACGATGGTTACAGATAAGCAACCTGCTTTTTTCCATTTCATCTGAATTTAGACATCAGAATTACCAGCTTTGGAAGAACCCAGGATCTAAAACCAACTGCACAGCATAGTTTAAAATTCTGGCTTGTTCCAAAGGTGATAACCATAATTACACCATTCATGCAAAACCGGGAGCTTATTGTTAATTTGAGGCTTCCTCATGTTATTGAACTGTGCCTCAAATGAAGGAGAGATGGGACTATTTTTCAAAGGCTTGCTTGCATCTCATCAGATTAAAGCAAGATATGATCATAGCCTTTTTTAAAGGCCCTTTGCTTTATAGGAGCAGGCAAAAGTTTGCTTCTATTTCTGCTTTTTAAGATGATAGATGAGATTGTTTGAATGCAGACTGTACCTATTGTCAGGATTAAACTTCTGCTGGGGGAAATTAAAGGCTCACATCCAACAAATTAAATTTGGGGTGGGGGGAGGATTGTTGAATAGGGATCTTTCACTTACTTCTGTGTTGCTCATTCTGTGGTCATACGTCCAGAACATTTGAAACATAAACCACCCTGTCCTGCCTGGCTCACTGTGCTTCTTCTTCTTCTTCCTGCTTATTCCATGAGACCAGCACAGCCAGATGATCTTAATCTGATTTACAAGAGATTTCCCCCCCACAAGTTTGGGCCCTGAGAAAGCTCTCTAAAGATGTGCCTCAGTCTAGGTCTTGCATTAATTCAGTGCTCTTGCAATGCAGGGATATTGGTTCAAAATCGTCTAAGAGCCTGTTGCTATGGAGATGGTGATTCCACTAGCACAGTTGGGAAAGGGGCCAAGCTGGCACATGCATGTTTTGTGTTCATAAACTGCAGATTTAGGTTGGGCTTGGTTTGGTAATTACAAGCCATCCTGAACAAGCTTGCAAAGGCAGGGCATAAATATTTAAAAGAAATCATTGAGATAAGCTTGTGAGCCAAAACTGTTTCTGGTTTGATCTCTAAATAGCAAGTAGGATTGCATGGTTGCAGCATCTGGGACTGTATAGCTTAAGAGAAGACTGGATGAAGAGAGACATAAGTTTGAAAAATATATGTATGTGAGGAGGAAGGAGACAGGGAAACATTTTTCTCTCTGTCTTAGAATCTGGGGTTATCCCATGAAGTTGATTAGTGGAAGATTCAGGACATATAAGAGGAAGCACTTCCTCATGCAGCCCAGGGTTCAGCTATGGAATTCACTTCCAGAAGAGGTAGTGATAGCCACCAATTTGGATGGCTTAATAAGAGATGAGACAAGTTCATGCACAATGCAGCTATATGCTGTTCCCAGTATGCTTATGTATACCAGGTGCTATGGAACTTGGGGTGGTGGTGTTGCACTCAAGTCCAACTTAAAAGCTTCTCACAGGCATTTGGCTGGCTGCTTTGTGACCAGAATTGTGGGCAGTATGGTTCCTGATTTGATCCAGCGTGGTTCTGGTGTTCTTTGCTTGTTCTCCTCTGTTCAAAAAATAGTTTTGGCAATCAAGCCTATTTAGTTTTAGGATTTTTGCCTTTAAGAGTTACAGCCTGTTGTTCATGGATGCAGCCACTGAAAAGGAAGACTTGTTCAGCCCCGGCAACTGCAGCACCTTTTCTAAGACTAATGAAAGTTTTCCCCAGTAATTTGATTGGTTCTTGATTCAGTCAGCTCAGATAATCTTCAAGCAGCCTTTCTCCACCAGACATGTTAGACTGCATTTCCCATCATCCTATGTTTTGCCTCACATTGGAAGCTGCCTGCTATACCATTGATCCATGTTGTCTAATATTCTTTGACACTGCTTTACAGGGCATCAGGCAGGAGTTTCCTTGCCTCACTTAGAGATGCTGACGATTGAACCTGGGGCCTTCTGCTGGGAAAGCAGGTGATTCACCAAGCTATGGTGGAGAGCACTCTATTAGGAAAGGCTGCCTTAAAGCTATCACTATCAAACTGAGGGGAGACCTTGACATATTTTCTAGCATGACTCTTCTAATAATTGGGCCATATTTTATTTTCATGATACATTTTTTGAATGGAGTGCTTCTCTTCCGTGCTGCTCTGGAGCTCATGGAAATTTAAGCTGAGGAATATTTCCCCCCTCAATACATACATACATTCATTTGGAAACATCTGAATTCCTTGCCCTATCCCAAACAGGTATATTGGGGAATAGATACCTGTATAGCCATTCTTTACTTTCAGACATTATTGCTGTTATAAAAAAGAGAATTTTAAGATCCCAACAATGTAAAAGCTATTTTTTTCTTGTTATTCTAAATTTTTCTTGTCATTCAAGATTTCAAGTCATAATAGTCTAAAAGGGGAGTGTTCTTCTAACAACCAGCATGCCAACCAGAACTCCACTCTGAAAGGCTGTTCAGTTGATATGTACATAGGCCTGATAAACTTCTAGAACACCTTTTCCCAGCCTAGTCTCTTCTAGCTGTTTTGGACCGACTCCCATCAACCTCAACCAATATGGTCAAGGGCCAGAAATTCTGGGAATTGTTATCCAAATTGTCTGGAGAAGCCAGGATGGGGAAGGTTGGCTTAGATACTATCACATTTCAAATCAGTTACTTCATTCCAAAATCAGATCATATTTATGCAGTTTCTGTGTAGAGATTATCTTACAGCTTATATTATCTGCTATCCCATAAATTAGGGTTCATCATTGTAATTTCAAAAAAAATCCCATAAAATGAAAACATACACACAAACACACACAAAAGACTTAGACATAAAACCTTCAGCCTAGATATAATTAATGTTGAATTACGCCTTTGAGAAAACCAAACTTGTACTCATAATTTACTAATTAAAGCTAAGTATATAAATTCTTCTAGACATCTGTATATCAAACCTTTTGATACTTAGACAGCATACAATATTTCTTGCTCTTCCTTGACAAGTGAAAACTTTTAAGTATATTTGACCTTTTAATAATAATTCACTCTTCTTTGTTATTCAATAACACTTTGACCCAAATGATAGTGCTTTATCTTTGGCTACCATCCACATAATCACACCATGTAGATTTTGATATCAGTTACCCAAAATATAGTGTGAACTTGTGTGTGATTGTGCATCTTCTCTTTATTACTATTACTGCTTTTACTTTGTATTTCCACATTCTTAATTATGCATTATTAAGCATTTTTATTTACTCTTGACTTGGCATTTCATAAAAAGCAGTTTGTCAGCAGCCTTCTTGGCCACTAAAAGCAAACCTGAAATTAACTATTTTTTTCAAATCCTTGATAAATATTTGCTGATTGCATTATAAACAGCTATTCAGTAAGTATATAAGCTGCCCTTCTATCTAAAAGTTCTCAGGGTTGCTTACTTCAGTGAAACGGAATAATAATATACCGTGAAAGTAGAAAGAAAAAATGGTGGATGCAATTAGTACCAAAGATTTTATTAGCCAGTGGTCTGGGAGAAGAAAGCTTTCTTCACTTGGTTTTGTTTTGTTTTTTTAAAGTGAACTAGACATCAGGTAGGTCTCTCTGGGGAGGGAGTTCCACAAACAGTGCTGAACCTGAGAATGTTCCTGCTTCCTGGGTATCACTCACCTCACCTCACCTCACCTCACCTCACCTCACCTCACCTCACCTCACCTCACCTCTGACTTGAGGGGCACATAAAGGAGAGGATCCTTGATGATGATTTCAGAGCAAGGGTAGGCTGATGTGGAGTTAAACATTACTTTAGTCCCTCCTCTCCCCGAATCTAACATGTGGCTCACACAGGAGTATTTGAAGAAGTAGTGATGGCTTGTCTTTGAATTTTGAGTGGACTGGATCAACTGGATTTGAAGCAATACTTCAAATTAGTCACAGACTCTATCACCAAGCTCTACGACTGGCTATCTCCACTGTTGCTAATGCTTACCTTAGGAAATGGAAGTCGCCACAGAGATGACAAAGGGTTGATTTGAATTGCACCCCTTCGTTCATCTGAACTAGGCCCCTTGTGAATTGGGTCAAGGTAAATTTATCCATCACTAGACATAACCTACGAAGCAGCAGTCATGCGTGAAAGGCATACCTCATGCATTATGGTTCTCCGCTTTGTAACTACCCCTTATGATGCATGTAATGAAGAATGTGCCCTCATAGCACCATAGGTGTCTCAGCATGCTAGATAACCTTCCCAATAGTTCATAACCCTTGCTTGAAACTTTTTCATGTTTTAATGTGTTTTTCTGTTAGGGATGTAAAACAAAGCAAACAAAAACTCTTGCTGGCTTCTACAGCTGCTCAGAAAGGATATTAAAGTGATAAATACAATTTGAGTTTATTTCATAAAAGAGTTCAGTCAGTTATTTCAAGTAATATAGGTAGGGTTTTGCCATTCAGACAAAAGCCCTTTTGCTATAAAATGTCAGGCTATAGGACTGCTTATGAATGATAATCACATATATGCACGCTGCATTTGTACAGGGAGTGGAATACACACCATGCATGTCTAGATACAGGTCACGTGCTGCGTTGTACAAGGAAATCTTTCTTTGCCCATGGAGAAAGAAGCATGTCAAATGAAGCCTTTAGTACAGAGCCATGCTTTGTATAATTGCCTGTTTGCAAATTAGTGCATTACTTAAGATTGCCTTAACCAATGCCCTTTTAACAGTTGCTCCATGAGTAATCAAAATTCTTTTCACCTTGTTTTTTTTTTTTTTAAACCTATAGTAGGAAAGTCATAATAATAAAAGTTCTGCAGTAAACAGGTGCACACTCTTGACTCTGCTGGAAGAATTCGAAATGAGATTAGAAGAAAATAGTTTATGTCATTGGGCTTCCTCAGTATCTTTTTAATTTCATGGGTTGTTGGAAAGGTGAGCCAGTTTCATGGGATCTGAAGACGATGCATATATTAAAAGCAGAGCTTCTATATTCCTTATTCTGATGTGTGCTTCCTTACATGGCATCAGGTGTTTCTGCAGCATCCAGTATAGTATTGCTGAGTCAGAGGGTAATATAACATCACAGTCCAATGTTTGGTTGACATTGTTAAAGGATAGCAACTTGGATTAGTATGCTGGGCTAGATCAGTGGCCCCGCTTGTTCAGAATTTGGTGTACCACATAGTGTACAATGTGACATTTCTGGAAAGTTAATGAGAATGGCCAATCATCTACTTCAGATGATTGAGAGTATAAAGGTAAAGGTTTCCCCTTGACGTTACGTCCAGTCATGCCTGACTCTAGGGGGCGGTGCTCATCTCCGTTTCCTAGCCGAGGGAGCCAGCGTTTGTCCGCAGACAGTCTCCATGGTCATGTGGCCGGCAAGACTAAACACGGAGGTGCATGGAACGCTGTTATCCTCCCACCGAAGTGGTACCTTTTCATCTACTTGCATTTGTATGCTTTCGAGCTGCAAGGTTGGCAGGAGCTGGGACAGAGCAATGGGAACTCACCCCGTTGTGCGGATTCGAACCGGCGACCTTTCGATCAACCAACCCAGCAGCACAGTGGTTTAAAGCACTGCGCCACCTGAGAGTATATTGGTAGATTATTTCTGGAAAGCAAAACTGTAGCTCTGGAGAAGAGCCCTGCACCAGTGTCTCTCCTCTTCCTTGTGTGCTCTTCCCGACAGTCTTTTCTAAATTGAAAGCCTGCAGGCACTGCTTGTTCATTGTAGTATAATTGATGTGAAGTACCCAATAGTTGAAGCACCACAAATGATAGATATTATTTCATATTAATAATCGCTTTGTTCATTTGTTTATCTTAATATTTTGATACCATTGCATTCCCATAGGCTCTTTCAAAATACTGGCTAGTGGCAATGAGTTCCAGAGGTTACATAAACAAGCATGATTATGCAAGTTGTTTTCTCCTTAAAGTAGGCTTAAAAACGGATTGAGTAACCTTTTGAGGATCAGAAGTTGCATTGCTGCACTGGGCCCTGCAAAACTGTTTGGGGATCAGTGAGTGAGGCAGGGATGGGTAGGGCGAGGATATGTCCGCAGATTCACACTCAACCATTCACACTCAGATAGATTCTCTGCCTCACCCGCACACAGATAAACACAACTTCATCTGGATCTGTCTGGTGTTACATTCCTCACAGATCTGCAGTCCCAGTGCTGGTAAGATAGGCATTTCCCCGCTGTAGTTAGCAATTAAGATTGTTTCCAGGGGCAGCAGTTCCCCTTCTGCTACCTTTCAAAATCACTGCTTTCCTCCTGCTAATAGCAGGGCCTGGTGGGAGGAGGCTTCCTGGAACATCTGAAGGACCAAGCTGGAACCTCAGGCAAGCTGGATTTTGTCTCTGGGCCTGAGACACTGTACCTCTGACATAGAATGTTTGCTTATAATGGTGGTATGCTGGGCTAGTATAAAATTGGCATAGCAAATTTATAAAACAGTAATCTATTTTGTATAGGGTAAAATTTGTTTGAAGAGTATAATTAACCAACGGGATAATAACATCCAAACAGCCCCCCCCCCCCCGCCAGTTCCAGGTTCTTGTTTGAAGTGTGTTGTTCATTGTTTTTTTTCAAAGGACAGAATGTATTTTTGCACAGCCAGGAATTAAAAACAGACCCAACTCTTGTCCAGTGCTTGGCAGATATGATCTCTCACTTACCTTTTCTTCCTTTAATAGAAAGAAAGACCATATGGTGTTAATAAGCTGGGAAATGAAAGTCATTTGAATTACAATCCTATCCTTACTTACCTGGGACTAAGTTCCATTGAATTCAGCCGCATTTACTTTTGAGTAGACATGCATGGGCTTGCACAGTTAAGTTTGTTGCTCCTTGATTTGGACTGATAGAACTTTAAAAAAGCAGGGCGTTGGGACTATTTAGATTTCTTTCAAAAATGTGTGAGTAGTTTATGAAGCAATAATATAAAAACACTGTATAATAACAAAAAGTAATAACAGTTAAAAAGCAGCATTTCCTTTTAAGAGTTGGAAAATATAAGAAACACAGAACCATAGGATTTTCAGCAAAGTAGCTTTTGTTATAGTTTTCCTAAGACATAATGGATTGGAAATCCTCTTTGAAAGGTTGCATCTCATTTGGTACCCCATGGTCACTTTGATAGTTGGCTTCGTATTTATGCTTGCATTTTGTGAATCTATGGTATTGAATTAGATGTCAGTGCCATTCACTCAGATCGAATTGCTTTGGAGGTTCTTTATGAGAATCTTGTATTCTTTATTTTGTTGTATTAGAATCTGTAACAATGCAAATATCTTTAATAAGCTGTGCCTATGTATAGTTTTTATGGCTCCAACACTGTAGTTGTTCCAGTTGGTGTACATACAATAATAATGTGGCATTGCCTTCTTTATTTCTTAGTGAGGATGAAATGGAAGAAGCAAATGGAACTAACCCTATTGATATTGAAGTTGAACAAAACAAGGAGACCAAAAAAGAGGTATTTTCCCTAATGATACTTTGATACATTAAGAATTTTAAAAATCTGAAATTTTTAACTGGGTTTTATTCTTTCTGTAGCTATTTTATGAGGATTAAATTTGTAATTATTTTAGGGTGCCATCTTATGCCTGGAAACAGCCCTATATCTCCCAGAATGGCTTTCTGAGAATGGTGGGAATTGTGGGACATTTTTGGGTCTAGACATTCACAGGATTCTACCTTTAATATATTTTGTGCTATTTGATAAACATAGTTCAAGACACTTTTTCCCAATCTGGTAATCTTTAGATGTATTGGATGTGAAACACCCATCTTCCCCTCAAAGCTTCTGTTAAAAGGATAATTGCTCTTCCAGCTAACTTATCAGAAGAGTACCAGGTCGGAGAAGGTTGCTTAAAGCTATTCTAGAAGTTTATATACGAGTATCTAGTCTCAGCTCCTTTAGTCACCACTACATATTAAAGTTACTTTCACTTAGACTTAGTAGGAATCCCATTTTAGGAGCCTGCAGATGATTAAGGGGCAGTTCTTCCATTTTTATGCAGAATAGGTTGAGGCCGTCCTACCACCCTACTTCTCCACACTGCAATACCATTTGCTTCTAGTCTGTCACTATGTTTGTTTGTGAACCGATTTGATCGTGAACTGAGGCATTCATGAACCAAGGTACCACTGTATGTAGAAGCTTCACCTAGTTCAGAATTTAGCATTTGGTCTTTTTTAGGGTTTCATATAGAGAAAGTTCTTCTTTCCTATCACCTGCTGCCTTATCTTTTTAACTGGAGATGCCAGGGGCTGAATGTTTGCCTACAAAGTATGTGTTCTACCAGAGTGCTGTGGTCCCTTGCACAGCTGCATTGGTTGCTAATTTACCTTCAAGCCCAATTCAAAGTACATCAAACATAGAAACATAGAAGCAGAGAGAGTCAGAAGGCGTCTCCCAGGCCATGTGGTCTGAGCCCCAGCTCCAGCCGGCTGTCCCATGTGCATGTCCAGCCTAGCCTTGAACACTCTCACCAATGGGGCTTCAAGCACCTCCCATGGAAGCCCATCCCATCCCCTCGGGGTCCTAACTGTCATGAAGTACTTCCTGGCATCCAAATTGAACCTTGGTTCCCTGAGCTTTGCTCCATTGGAGTGCACCTTCCACTTTCCGCAGGGGAAAACTGGTCTCTACCCATGTGGCACCCCCTGTAAAGGACCTCTTAAGAACTGCCTGCTTCCATATAAACTTGCCTTCACAGTTAGTTTGACACGCAAGGTTCTGCTGATCACCCAATTTCTGTACTGTCTGAAGTGCAGCGGGTGGGAGAGCATTGTAAGTCCTTTTGAACTGCAGCTCTTAAGTTGTGGAACATCCTTCCCAAAGAGTCAAATTCCCACTATTGGCTTTTCAGTGTGCAGCCCAAAGCTTTGAGAAAGCCTTTAGGCTGATTTAGAGTGACTCAGTGAATCTATTTCTGGCTCCTATGGTGTTTTGTGTTGGTTGTATGAATTTAAATCATGCTTCTTTATAAATCATCCCAAGCATTTATATTTAGGTGGAAAATAATAATTCATGGTAAGTAATGAGGAATATGGATTATAGTACATACTAGAGTGACACTGTTAAAATTTTGTACTTGGCTCAAGGCAAGTGCAGAAGAAAGGTTGAACTTAAATTTTAAAGACGCTGTTATCTCATGATGGTTTGATCAGCATGATTAAACAAGACTTCTGCTGAGGACAAGAAACCTGAGCCTGACTGTACATGTGGACAATGGCAACTCTGCATCCAGTACAACTTTCTTTGAATACTCAGGGTTTTTGGTAGTATATTGGAGGGTCACATGAACACATGTGGCCCTCTCTTGAGTTATTGCAGCACGACATGGATCTAGCAAATTGAATACAATCCATCAACAGTGTAATGTGACCATCTAGTCACTTGACAACTCCCATATTTTTCCCCCAGATGAGCAGATAGCAAAAACTATTTCATGGGTTATTTTCTGGGCATCCCTTTTATGACTGGCAGGATATGTTTGTAACTAAGCTGTCTTTTCAGCAAATGTGCAGGATTATAAATTTTAAGAAGCTTTTAGAGCTTCTGGACCTCTTGTCAAACTGTTGGAAGTACTGCATTAGATATACTGTACTTATAACATTTATTAATCTTTTTGTGTAATAAAACAACCAGGATTATGTAGAGTAGGAAAACTGTGCTAAATCAACAAAGCATTACTGGGTGAGTAATGGAGATGGACATTCAGACCCCATCATTCTTGAACTGGATTAACCTTGAATTTTGAGTATATGAAAATAGTTTAATAGTTAACCAAAAATTAGTCTTATGTACAGAAAGTCTTTGGAGAAGTCAGTGTGAGAGGAGTTCAGAGATTTTTTAAAAAGATTTCATTTCCTTGTTTCTAAATGGTAACTAGAGCCATGCTGCCACCCACACACACTTGTTGCCTATAATAATGTTTGTTGCAGTCAATAAAACATCATTCTGCATTGGGTATCCTGATGGCACAAGTGATAAGCTCATCAACTTCAAGTGAAGCAGAGCAAGATGCAAAATCGAATCATGACACTTTCTGTGTTGTAGCAAACAGCATTTACAAGCTCTGAAACATCCATGTTGTGTATGCAATCGCCATCTGATTAGCACTAAAGGCTTCTGTCAGCAACATGTGCAAGAAGGTGATGGATATAAATAATCTTCTGGGAGACAATAGCTAAATTCTATGAATTTATACTATAAAGTATAAATTCTATATTATAGATACCAGTAATTTTAAGTGTGGAAAACTAATCAATCATCTGAAGTAAGGGGAAAATAGACATAGGTGTCTTATTTTAAGTGTCATTTTAAGAAAGGATTTGTATTTTTAAATTGCATACTGCTTTCCCACAAAATGTGTCCAAAGCAGCTTATAGCACAGCAGCAATACAAAAGTTAGAATGCATAGCAGTATATCAGCTGCAATCATGTATCTATAATAAACAATCCAAACCCTTGCTTTTCCTGTGTAACTAAAACATTTTAAATTCATTGCAAAATAGACAGTGCCAACCATTAAATGACAATATCAATGGTAATCTCTCCCATGCCCACACTTTCTCAGTTTGGTGCCGTTATTAAGAGAAATAAGGAGAGGTGGGATGCTTTGGGGATTCTTGTTACAGTGTTGATTGTCTTTCAGCAACTCCTCATGAGGTTTTCAAGCTTGTTACAAAGGCTAGAGAGTTTTTGTATATCAGAATTGCAACAGGCAATGCAATACTACCCTATACTCTTTAAAGTTCTGGTCACCACACTTGCAAAAAAGATATTGTAGAGTTGGTGAAAGTGCAGGAAAGGACAGCTGAAATGATTAAGGGGCTGCAGAAACTTCAGGAAATATTACAAGATCAGGATTTGCTTAGCTTAGAAAAAATGAGTAAAGGTGGATATGATAGAGTTGTATAGATTTATGCATGGTGAACTACTGGATGGAGAGACTTTTTGGAGAAGCACTGGAGGGAGAAGCACTCAGAATCCTAGAACCTGGGGTCATTCCATGTAGTGGATTGGCAGGAGATTCAGGACAGATAAAGGAAGTACTTTTTTATGAAGTGCACGGATAAGCTATGGGATTCACTTCCACAAGATGTAGCAACGGCCACCATTTTGGATGGCTTTAAAAGGAGATTGGATAAGTTCATAGATGATAAAGTTACCAACAGTTACTAGTCCTGATTTACTTGATGCTGCCTCTAGTAACAGAGACAGTATGCCTGTGTATGCCAGTTGCTGAATGCATGGGCTTGAGTGTTTGGCTACACTCATGTCCTGCTTGTGGATTCCCCGGGGCAGCTGGTTGGCCACCATCTGAAAAGAATTCTGGACTCAATGGATCCTTGGTCTGACCAAGGATGGAATTCTTATGTTGTGTAAAATTAGAGATACGAGTGTGCCAGTGGAAAGATTGCCTTCAGTCTTAACATAGGTTTGAGAGACCAGCATGATTGCTTGAATGCCATGAAAACCAAATTGTTGGAGTGATTTTAGGGTTGCATTTGAACTATTTTTCTTGGATCATGAGTGAAATTGCTGCAGGTTTCACATGAAGCTTACCTTGGGAGAAGGTTGCAACTTCTATTTTATTCCCTGGACTGTTTGTCTCTCAGCATCAAGAACAATGTGGATTTTTAGAAATACTGTGATTTTATTATAGTGTGATAGAATAAATAAGAGGGCCAGTGACAGGGAGAACTCCAGTCATGTGAATTCTCAGTTAAGATCAGCAATCTTCAGGTGTATATAGCAAGTCTCACTGTATTAAAAACAGATTCATTTTTTGTGCCAACTGATTTGAGCAGTAAAGAAGCAACTATTTGGATGGTTTTGGGTGGTGGTAGAAGGAGGAGGGGGCTGTAAGACCTTTTCTCTCCCCAGCAAGCCCAGCCCAGATCATCAATTCAACACTATGAATAGCAGCAGTCCACACAAACTCAGAGGCAGGGCTGACCAGGGAGATGAAGGAACTGCCCACCTGCTGTTGGTGTGAAGGGGCAGCAAAGGTCCTGCTTACCTGATGGAGGCCAAGACCTGGCAGGTTGAATCAGGTTTGGGCAACCTCTCTTCTCTCTGTCTGGTAAATATGGCACTTCTTGCATCCTGCTTCTGAGTAAATCAGCTGAGAGGCATGGTAAAAGTCCCATAGAATCATGTTGACTGTTAAAACTATTTAATTTTTTTAAAGTGAAAACTTAATCAAAAACAAATATTCCAGCCACTTAGTCCTCTCCCCCCCCCTTTAGTTTCATTGTGAATTTCATTGAAAATTAAAAGAAACAAAAATTAAAAACAAAAAAACTCAGTACATTTATTTCCAAATCATAGCATAAATCCAATGGTATCTATTATATGTAATCTTCAACAAAGGCAGACCTAGTATTTGTTTATATGCATTAGAGATTGGCATGTGTATTTCATCTGATCAAATATTTAAAGTATCCTTATGCTTTCTT